TTATATTTGAGTCCATTAACTAACCAAACATTATAAACAAAAATTAAAGAATTGCAAATAGTATCCATACCAATGATCTTTCCTTTTTATCCTCCTCCAAACCCTCACTTCCTTCCTCTTTCAAAGTTAGGGTTTGGAACATATGCCCTTCTCCTGTCATATTTCATGAGCATCCAATATCCAAGTACCTTGATTGTTTCTTTGTTTCTCCCTTTATGCATATTTGCATCAAACAAAATTTCAGATTTAGGTATCCATAATCTTATGGATTCTCTAGTGTTAGCACTGAAATGCTTCCTTTTATTTTTTAGCCTTTGCTTGATAGAAATGTCTAGACTTATTCTAGACTTTTTGTTTAAAAAAGTTTTGTCATGGATAAGTCTTGGTTTTACTTTATGAACCCTTCAGAGCTTTTGATCTATAAGTCTTGGATTATGCTTTCTTTAGAACCTTTGACTTAGAAATTTTGGGTTCTGGTTTCTTCTGAACCGTTGATTGTGGAATCTTAGGTACTTATTTCTTCATAATCTTAGACTTTGAAGCCCCATGACCTAATTTGTTCAAGACCTTTGATTTAGTTATCATAGGTTTTGATTGGTTCAAATTCTTACCTTTATCAGAGGCATGGACAAAATAAGTTTTCAACGTTGTTTGAGCACAACTTGAATAAGGATTTGTTGTTTTTTCAAGAGTTAAACTTTGGAGCTTTCTCCATTGTAACCCAGACCTTATCCTTAGCTCTTACTTACTCAATATATATTGGAAGCAATTTTAGTTCTTTCAAGACTCGTTGTGATAAAGTTTTGAAGATCCATCTCATGCTCATTCAATGTTTTACCACGAACTTTATTTAAAAGAGCATTATGATCTTTTTAAAAAGACTCAAATTTATGTTAAGAGATTTTTAATTCCTCTTTCAAAATATTATGATCTCTCTTGCTTTATCTTTGCAATGAGTCATGAGATCTTGAATGACAATAATAAGATCAGAATGCAATAAGTTAGAAAATACCTCATCTTCATCTTCTAAATTAGAGTTGGATTGAGATTCTGTGTCAGATGATGTGAGAGCCGTCAGAGCTAGATTTCCTTCTCCTTCAGTTTTATTTGAATTGTCTTCATTAACAAGTTTGTCTCATGTTTCCATGAAACTCTTCTTGAATTTACTTCTAAATATGTCCTTCTGGAAGCTTCCTTTCTTTGGCATGTCCTTCTATAGATCAAGACAATAAGCTTTGAAATGACCAGGCTTCTTGTAGTTGAAGCAGTTCTTCTGGTCATCATCTTTGTCTCTAGAACTAGAGCCTCTGAAGCAATTACTTTTACCAGAGAATCTCTTGTTCTTTTTTCCAATTTTTGAAACCTTTTGATGATAAAGGCCATTTCCTCATCATCAGAATCACCACCAGAAACTTCTCCATCTGAAGCTTCTTCTGATTTGCAGACTCTTGAGGATCTGAGAGCTTTACCATCAGATTTCTTAGCTCCAGACTTCAAAAAAGTGATTTAGATTTCTTCACAAACTTATCTTCATTCAGTTCCATCTTATGGCTCTGAAAGGTTACTTATCAGACTTTCAAAACTTACAATATTCATGTCTTTAACCTCCTGAATAGTTATGACCTTCGGTTTGAATCTAATAGGGAGACTTCTCAAGATCTTCTTAACATGGTCATATGTAGGATAACTTTTGTTAAGAACCCGAAGGCCTGATACAAGAACTTGAAACCTAGAAAACTTGGTTTCAATATCTTCATAATCTTTCATTCTGAACAACTCATAGTGTTGTACAAGAAGGTTGGCCTTAGCCTCTTTAACTTGAAGATTTCATTCATAAGTAGAACACAAAGACTCAAAGATAGTCTTAACAGTAGAATTATCAATGATCTTGATGTACTCAGAATGAGGTAGAGCTTCTATTAGAATGCCGCTAACTCTATGATGTTTTTTATAGATCTTTTTCTAAGTTGGTGTGAGATTTTTTCTATTAGCAACCATTTCAACACCATTAACTTCAATGTTAATGAAATCTTCTAGGATATCCCACAACTCATTATCAAGTCCAATAATATAAGTATACATATTACTTTTCCATCATTCAAACTGAGTGGAATCACTACTGAATGAAGGTAGCCTATCAGAATAGTGACTCTTCTCAAAATAATTATAATCATATGGTATACCACCACCAATAACATTACTCACATCAGGAGAGCCAACCATTTAATATATTTTTTTCTCTTCAGAATCTTTTTCTGTACCACTGTTAAGTGTTTAGCACAGATCGTGCTCTGAGGCCAACTGAAGGTGAGAAAAATACATAAGAATGGGGGGGAGGGGGATTGAATTATGTATAAAGAATTCTTCTGCTTCTTAAAAACAACTTTAGAAATTGATCAAGATCAAACTATGACTTCATAGTTGATAGCAACAGAAAGAAATAAAGTGCAAAAGCAATAAGTAAAAACACACACACACACACACACACATTTATTCTGGTTCCTTCCATAAATTGAGAGTAATCCAGTCCCCTTGTTCAACAAGAGATTTTTCATCATAATCAATAAACTTATTATAACCCGCTCAAGTAAACTAGTCTGAGACTTTCTTTGCTCAATCATTTTAGAAAGAGACTTATGCTCAAGCAACCTAGCAAAAGATTTCCTTTGCTCATGCAACCTAGCAAGAGACTTCATTTTCTCAAGCAACCTAGAAAGAGACTTCCACTAAACTTTTAAACAAAAAATTTAGATGAATAGACAACAAGATGCACTTAATATACAGTCAGAGGTGCAGAAAAAATACAACACAATCAAAGATTTTAACACTTGAGATTTCTAAGATATACAAAGATAAGAAATCTCAAGACTGTGTTCAATACAACGGAAATATATATGAAAGCTTAGTGTTCTGTTCAGTGTTGTTATTATTGTAATTCTTGTTATCTCCCTTCAAATCTTCAACTCCTTATATAAAGGCAACAAAAGAGTCATTGGAAAATGACTTGCACATGTGTCTTTATTGAGAAGCAATTTCTAAGAGAGAGACATTGGAAGTTGATATGTTAAGATCTTTTTCCTATGTGTAAAGCCTTTGTCCATTGTGTCTTTTTTATATTAGGTATCTACCAAAGAGTTGGAGCAGACGTAAGATGTCCTGTCAACTTTCCTTGAGCCTTGCACTATAGAAACTCTAGTTGACTTTCTCCCAAAATCTGGCTTGACAAGATAGTTTTGCTTTAGACACAAAGTACGTACCAGAAGCTAAGAGCCTTTAATCCAGGTCATTAGAATCTGAGCTATCACCATAAGAAGAGATACTGAGTCCGAGTCACTAGATTATGATCTTTTAGAATCTAAGACTTTAGCTTCTCTTTATAAGTTGTTTAACAGGGTAAAAACCAAGTTAATTTTAAGCTTATGATCCTGTACACTTAAACAAATGTTAGTATACTCAATTGTTCTTTAAGTACTCTATTATCATCAAAATCCAAGGGATGTGGACAATTTTGTTCCAACATATTCAACTTGGATGTCATGGAGGCGAGAGACATGGTGCCATCCGAAAGCCTGAACTCTATAGAAGGTTTATCTCTGTTGAAGTACACTTCTGTCTTAATAAAAAATTAAGGAAGAGACATTTTGAGATGTTTTTCTCAACAAGAGATGACCCATATTCATACAACTTTAGATTCATTATGGACCACACAAAATGGTCAGTGCAATCACAGCCGTACAAAATTGTCAGCAAAATCTTGACCGTTGAAAATTTTATATAATTGAAGTACTGAAAAATTCAAATTGAGCAAAATTTCAAATATAAAAAAAGAAAATTTTAAAAATTTCAGAAATAATTGACACTTACTGGAAATTTCATATATAATAGTGGAAATTTTGTAATTATCTAAAATTGATGCTTCCTCAGTGATTATCTTCTTGAACGAAACCACTATTATAGAGTTGATCCTCTTTATAGTTCTTGATTCATTTTCTATTGGATGGACAAGAGTTTCACCTTCTCCATCATTTTTGTTGTGCACTTTCTTGGAGTTCTTTTCTCACATGTCTTCTTCTATGAGTGGATTGCCATGGTTTGCAAGTGCAAACCATATGGGGAAAATTCATTCAAACCCTAGCAGAGAATAAACTTGAAAAAAGCAAACATAATTTTTCAAGCTTTTTTTTATGGTTATTGTTAGATGTCATTAAACAGTCATTGAAGTTGTATACTGAAATGATAAGGAATATCTATAATCAGCATTCATATATAAGGCATATTAGGTGAGATTTAAGGTATTCCCTATGTAATCCATAATTCACTCTACTCTTCATATTCTTATAGACTTGAACGAAGTACATATCTTACAAAATTAATCTATTTTTTATTTTGTTATTAGTTCTGTTACTAACATGATTACTTAATAAAAAAAATCTAGACAGAAAACTATAATGATCCAATTTAAGTTCGTAATGTACATAAATTGTCCACTAATCATTAAAATTAAAAAGTTTGCACCTCTTATCATGGATACACAAGTGTACCATTAAAATCAAATCATTTTTTATATTAGTTTATTTTTTAAAATAAATTTTATTCTAAGGTATGGTATGGTACTTAATCAAATAAAAGAATTTTCTTAATTTCTCACACGAACAAAAGACATACCCCTCGTGCCACACTCTACTAACAATACAAAACACTATATATAGTATGATAGTAAACACAAAGCTTCATCGCCTTTCAAGACCAATCACTATGGAGCACAATTTTCGAGAGTGTGTGTTCACAAATAATCTCCACAACACAATTAGTAACTAATGCATTTTCTTCTCCTACTACTTATTGCTCAATCTCATCTTCCATAATTGGAAACTTTATTTCCTCTTCTTTCTTTTCCTTTCACTCACACTACATGTGAAAGAATAAGGATCTCATTCTATATACATAAACTTTGTTGTTATATAGAGTATACATTACATACATACATACATCAATTGAAAATGGCTAGCCATGAATCAATGTGTCCAAAACCAATGAAAGCCACTTCCAATGGGGCATTTCAACATGAAAACCCAATGGATTATGCACTTCCTTTGTTGATTGTTCAGATATGTTTGGTCGTTGCTTTTACAAGATTCATTGCATTTCTTTGCAAGCCTCTTAGACAACCTAGAGTTATTGCAGAAGTCATTGTAAGCACTTTCTTCTTTTTATTATACACATTTCATTTCTTTTATAACTTAGCATTGAAATATACGCGGACATTGGATAGGATTCACACATTGATATCGGTAATAATTAAAAAAATTGAATTGATTGAAGGTAATCACTAGTGACGGTGTTGATGTACGACACACATTTTTTTTAAAGTTTTTTTGAGAGATGTCGGTAAAATATGATTTTTGTGTGATTGATCTTCCAAATTAGTAAGTCATGAAGCTAATCAATTAGATCCACTAAAAAGTAATCTCAATTGTTAATGAGATAATCAATTATTGATTTTGATATATATGATTTGTTACTATGCAACTATGTATGTATTGTAATCAGAGTTGTCTTAAGTTTTTTGAGATCTTAATATGTTGGCTGCAATTTAACTATGAGAATATAATTAGAGACCTTATTGATTTAACATGGACATGTGCGGTAGTCGGCCTTTCACTCTCTCAAAGATGGTCATGTAATATCAAATATTGTTTTTGTGGTGGATGTCTGACATTACTTGTTTTAGGTGTGAATTGCTAGAGTGAAGTGGGAACAATATATGTAACACCTTTCTAGCAATTTTGGCTAAGATTAGGTGTAATTTATGTTGTTATTAGTTTGATATCAAAATCTTCAAGTTATGAATTATATTTATTTGAGTTCTTTTTATTCAAATTCATGTACAAATTTAACTTTGGTTTCGATCATATGTGTCACATGATATTTGTTTTGTTGGGAAAAAAATGCAGGGAGGAATATTACTAGGACCATCAGCAATTGGGAGGAACAAGAGATTTCTAGAGATATTTTTTCCTGAAAGAAGCTTAACGGTTCTTGAAACAGTAGCCAACGTTGGCCTTCTATTTTTCTTATTTCTAGTAGGTCTTGAACTCGACATGCGTTCGATACGCAGAACAGGTACAAAAGCCTTATGCATAGCCCTTGCTGGGATCAGTGTCCCATTTGTACTTGGCATAGGCACTTCAGTTGTTCTTCGTCACACGATATCCAAAGATGTTAATTCAGCTGCCTTCCTCGTATTCATGGGTGTTTCTCTTTCGATTACCGCCTTTCCTGTCCTCGCTCGCATCCTAGCTGAGCTGAAACTCCTTACAACCGATGTTGGCCGTATGGCAATGTCTGCTGCTGCTGTCAATGATGTTGCAGCATGGATACTACTTGCTCTTGCCATTGCTCTTTCGGGATCAAACACTTCCCCTCTTATTTCCTTGTGGGTCCTGCTCTGTGGTGCCGGTTTTATCGTCTTTGTTATTGTAGCTGTAAAGCCTTTACTCGCATTGATGGCTAAACATTCCCCTGAGGGTGAACCTGTGAGGGAGATTTACATTTGCATCACCTTGACAATTGTTTTGGCTTGTAGTTTCATAACTGATACTATTGGTATTCATGCACTTTTCGGAGCTTTTGTAGCTGGAATTGTTGTTCCTAAAGATGGTCCTTTCGCGTCTGTTTTGACCGAAAAGATTGAAGATCTTGTTATGAGTCTTTTGTTGCCACTTTATTTTGTGTCTAGTGGATTGAAGACTAATGTGGCTACTATAAGTGGAGGAATGTCTTGGGCACTATTAATCCTTGTTATATTTAATGCTTGCGTTGGTAAAATTGTTGGTACTCTTTCTGTGTCCTTGTTGTGTAAAGTGCCTTTTAGAGAAGCATTGACCCTTGGATTTCTCATGAACACCAAGGGCTTAGTGGAACTTATTGTTCTCAACATTGGCAAGGATCGCAAGGTATGGTTTCGGCACGCATTCACGCCTTCACGCCTTCAGTACATTGTGGTATGTTGGATCAAGATAGCATGTTGAAATTTGTTTTGTCCAATCTCGATCCAACGACCACTGACATATTGACGGCATGAATGTGTGAAATTGTGATAGAAGACAATCTAAATTCGAGAGAGTGATACTTGATCGGATAAATTGATGCCTTACTCGACTAATAATATAACCGTATATGTTAATTCTGTGTGAAAAATTGTAGGTACTGAATGATCAAGCATTTGCAATATGTGTTTTAATGGCATTGTTCACCACTTTCATCACCACACCGATAGTGATGGCACTATACAAACCTGCTAGGAAAGGAACACCTTACATGATTAAAACAGTTCAGCGCAAAGATCCAGACACAGAACTTCGAATTCTAGCTTGCTTCCACAGCACATGGAACATTCCCACATTAGTCAATCTAATAGAATCTTCAAGAGGAACACGAAAGCGAGGAAGATTATGTATATACGCAATGCATCTAATGGAACTCTCTGAAAGACCTTCTGCCATAACAATGGTTCATAAGGCTAGAAACAATGGCCTGCCCTTCTGGAATAAAAAACAAAGCGACAACAACAATGATCAAATGGTAATCGCGTTTCAAGCTTACGGACATCTAACTAGCGTTAATGTCCGTTCAATGACAGCAATTTCGTCGTTGAATAACATCCATGAAGACATCTGTTCAAGTGCTCACCAGAAGCGAGTCGCGATGATTCTACTCCCGTTCCATAAGCACCAGCGTGCTGATGGAATCATGGAGTCACTAGGCCAATCTTTCCGCATAATGAATGGCCTTGTACTCAGTCACGCTCCCTGCTCGGTTGGAATTTTGGTCGACCGCGGCCTTGGAGGGACAAGTCAAGTTCATGCTAGTGACGTTTCTTACAATGTTGTTGTACCTTTCTTTGGAGGATGCGACGACCGTGAAGCACTGGCGTACGGTATGAGAATGGCTGAACATCCGGGGATTTATCTAACTGTTATCAAGTTCATTACTCCACCAGGGAAAACACTGGCATTCGGTGCTAAACTGATCGGTGTAGCAGCTGACGAGAATCGAAAAGTAATAAAAGTGGCTGATGATAGCACAGATGATGAAGATAAAAAAGAGGACAATCAATTCTGGTCAGAATTTATAAGTGTTTCTTGTAAGAGCGAAGAGTCTATAGTTTACGAGGAAAGGTTGGTGGATAGTAAAGACGATATTATAACTGTATTGAGGGAAAGGAACAAGAGCAATCTGATCTGTGTCGGTCGAATGCCTCCAGTAGTACCTTTGCTAGATGGAAGTGATTGTGCTGAGCTTGGTCCTGTTGGAAGCTATTTGGCATCTTCTGATTTCTCTACAATTGCATCAGTACTAGTTTTTCAGCAATACAATCCCAAGACAGATATTCATCCTTTGGTTATGGAGGTTTCTGATTATTCTGATATCCCTGACACACCAAGAGATGAAGTATAGAAGAGATATTGAAAATAAGGTTAAGCTAATGCTTCTGATTGCATGAGTTTGGATATTGACTTTACATATCACATAAAGAAAGGGTGATCAAGTTTTGAAGTTGTAAGGTGAATTTGTTAGAGAAATAATTGGGTTGTTATGAATAAGAATTGTATTACATCTTATTGAGATGTCATTTCTTCTTCCAAAATTTTGGTTAATTACCAATATTGTTTTGTTGCCTGTTTGGCCATTTAAGAAAATTGTTACCTGATCTATTGAATCACAATTGTCATTGCTTGTAGAGAGTATGATCAATGTGAAATTTGTTTACACTTCAAAATAAAGAAGTTATTTGTTGAAAGAATCATGGGACAGCATGTACTCCCAACAGTAGAAAGAATCAAACACAGCCTATGAAAATAGCAGAACAACACCAAATTTTGCAAGTCATGACATTTTGGCAAGTAGAACTAGTGTTGCCTATAAATACCTAAGTTAAGGAATAGATATTATCAAGGATATTTTTGTCATCTATTCTTTTCTTCTTTCATCTTTTTGCTTTTTATTTTACTTGTACATTTCTTAGTTTAGCAATTAAAAAAAATTAATTTTGTAACTAACACTTTTTAAATGAATTAAGAAACTTGTAGGTAAGAAACAAAATTCTTTCCTCAACATAATTGTTTAAAGTGCAAAATGATTCAAGGTTGAGAGCTATTACTTGATCACTCAATTATGTTTAAAATTTGACAACAAATGCATCAACTTAACATATTTAAACAACTTGTTAAGAACAATAAAGAACATATATACTCCACTATGTTTAATATTTGAAAGCTACACACTCAATTTTTAATTCAATCTTAAATGATAATATGTGAAGAGATTGACCTTAATTGTACTAAACCTTAAAGTTTAATTTATATATATAGATAGATAGATAAAAGGAAGAAACACGCCAGAATTATATTAGTTTGGTCCAAGAACACTAAGCCTAATCTAATCTTTGAGAAATGTTCTCTCAAATTTTCATTATCATGGACCTTTTAACACAAAATAAACCCTAAACCTTCTTACACCAAAATTTTACCTTAGATTTACATGTAATCTTTATAACTTATAAGAATTCAAATAGAACACTCATCTCTTGATTTATAATTATAGATCAGAATGATATAACAGTTGTTGCACAAAAATTCTCAACAAAGTGGTTACTCTTTCTACACTAAATTTATATTTTAAATGAATATGAAAATTTAGAGCAAGGTGAAAGTAGAAGAGAGAGTGTTTTTCTAAATTATTGCGTGTCTTAAAATGAACACAAGACCACCTTTTATAGTAAAATATTTGGATGAAATAGGAAACTTTGGAAGATGTGGATCTGGTCCATAATTGATTAGGCAACGACCATAATCAATTATGACCTGGAAGTAATGAAAGTTTTGTTGGGTAAAAATCATAATCAATTATTAGATCTCAATAATTAACTACTAAGCAAATTTCACCTCATAATCAATCATACAAGTTCCATAGTCGATTGTAGGTCGAGACTTTCTACATAATAAATTATAAAGACATCCTAATCAATTATGCTTCAGTTTAAAATGTTTTGACTCGATCCAAAGTCATTTCTAGGAGTTATTGAAAATATACGGAGTTTTAAAAAGTTGTTTTGAAAAAGAATTTTAGTAAGTGTATGTATGATTTCAGTATGTTAAGAGTAACATAATGGCAGTTGCTTGACCTTTATTATTTGAGATGAAAGTTTCAAAGTTTTTTTTAGCAGGTGCAATACTCATTACTACCCACTTATTATAATTGCATGCCATCGTATGTTTTAAATTGTTTTATCTTCGGTCTCTATTAAAGATGATTTAAAGTGTGGTTCAATTTTTGTCATGAAATTTATTCTGAATCCTTTACTTGAGAAGTTTGAATTATATTTTATATCAAGTAAATTTTTTATTTGAATTGTTCAAGATTCAAAGTTTTGTTACATGGACATATGTCATGCCAAATGTTCCAACAATCTGTGAGGCAACTGTCTCTGACTGTTACTTGGCGACCAAGATTAACTAAAGTATATCTTGTCATGTCGTGATTTGTTTCCTTTTCTGTTATATCATAGATATATGTGTGCTAGCTTGAGTTTGGATTTGGAAAAAAAAATCTTATTTTAGCAAGTCTGTGTGTGAAATGTTTAATTTGTATCAATCAAGGATCTCAATCTTTCTAATAAAGATTTGATTGATCATGCATGTTTTTGGAGGATGTGATCTAAGTCAAATATAACAAGAATAACCAAGAGATCCAGATTTATTCAAGGTGATCAATCAAGATTGGAAATCATTATTGAAGATTGATCTCATGTACTTTTTAGAAGTCCAACTGAATTCATGATGGGCTTTTGGAGTTGGACTTTTGTGGCTATATAAAGAGTTCATCTCCTTTGTGAAGACTTATAACTTGAGAGAAAATCCACTTTATAGGATTTTTTAGTTGAGTCTTGTCTTTGAGTTTTTTGTTGCAATACTTTGTTCCTAGATATTAATTCTATAAGCTTGAGAGCAAAGTATTTGTGTATTACAATTGTTTTATCCTTTCAATCATATTGTAATTGTCCAAACACAGGGAGAGTGTTTGAGTGAAATTGAGATAGTTCTCTTATTCATGGGGAGCATGGACGGAGTTTCACATGTAGTATTAGGAAAGTGACCTTGAACTGGGAAAGTACAAAATAAGCTCATTTGTTCTTCTGACAATTGAGAGTGAAATAGTTTTATATAGGGTTATGAATAGAAATTCACATATAGTATTAGGAAGAGAGGAATTGAACAAGGTTTATTCATTGAAGACTATTTTTTGTATTTTTATTATTAAGAGTGGATTTTTTTTTCTTGGGATGAATGCTCCCCGGATGTAAATGGTTTGGCACTGAACTGGATTAACAATTCCAGAATGCTTTTTTGTATTATTATTTATTTATTTTTATTATTTTGTCTGCTATGTAAGTATGTTGTCATACACATTATGTCATATATTGTATTTGACATTTGTATGTCTGAATAACAGAATTTAATATATCTTGTAGCCAAGCACCACTAGCTCTTGTTTCAATTCGATGTGAAAAATTATTTCTTGCATAGTGACTTACAAGAGGAGGTTTATATGGAGAAATCATCTATTTTTGTTTCTTGGGGGGAGCATGGACATGTGTGTCATTTAAAGAAAAATCATTTTATTATTTGAAACAATCATCTAAGTTTTGGATTGGGAGATTCACCAAAGTGGTTTTGCATTTGGACTAAAAAGACCTCAAAGTAATCATATGATATTTTTTTAATATAATCAACTGTAGAAATATCTTATTTTTGGTGTATGTTGATGATATTGTAATTACATAAAGTGATAGAAAAAGAATTGACAAACTAAAGGATTTTCTTCAAACCAAGTTTTAGACCAAAGATTTGGGAGTCATGAAGTAATTATTGGGAATTGAAGTTATGTATTCAAAGAATGGGAAATTCCATTCACAAAAACATGATACATTTGAAATAAAGTATAATAGGTTTCCTTGTGATCAATAAACAATTAGGGTAGAAAAGGAAGAACACGAAGAACAACAATGATTGGTTATAATTGTTATTCTTTACTTTCTCTTTAATCAATATTACAAGTGTTACAAAAATAACAAATAATCCTCTCACTCTAAATTAGGATTTGCAGTATGCAATGATGAGAGACTAGTATGCTATTTATAATAACGTAACATACTAAACTAATGGGAATTTTCACAAATATCTATTACAAACTAATTTAAGGTACAAGCTAACTTAAACAATTGGACATAACAAACATGTCAAATTCGAAATACTAACAACCCTAACATTTTAACACCCATATACTAGAACACACTTCGACTACAGTATATAAGTCACAAACTAAAACATGATTTCAAGACCAATCTAATGATATGTTTCCGTTCAGCAAAAATAAAAGTTTCATAGATTTGATTAAACACTTTCTGATACCATTTCTCAAATTCTTCCATGATGCCATTTTTCATAGTATTCTTCTATTTATAATACATGTACATTTACAATAATAAATTGCAAAAATTTTATATATCATTTTCTAAATTTTAAGAATGGTAAATATATACATTAAGGAGAATATCTGATTTTATGCTCTATATAAAATTTATATTAAAAGTTTCGTGTGAGGATCAAATTACCTAACTAAAAATGAAAGATATTTAGATATCTCCATTCTTACCGTTTTCTCCAAAAAAAAATTAAACTACAAAATATCTTTATTACCACTAACCAATAATATTTATCCATTACGGGAGGCGTCACACAAATTTTTCAAATTTCATTGAACCACTCTTTTTTTTTTGAACCAATATGTTGTATATTAATTCAAAAAGCAGTTACACCAAGGCAATCTCAACAGATTCAGCCAACAAAATCTACAAAAAGGCTAAATCATTAATCTAGCAATATTAAGCCTAATCTTTCTATTTCCCCAACATCTATACACTATACAATCGATAATTTTCTCTACCAAGTTGTTCCTATAATTAGTACTATCAAAAATTGTAGCATTTCTAAGAAGCCAAGTCTCATGAATTGCTTCAGTAAACGCCGTTTTGGGCACAGTTGCACACTGATCTGACCTGATCAGGAGGTTTGGACCGTCACGGCTGCTCCGAGCTGAAGGCTTTTTGAACGAGGAGGGGGGGGTACCTGCAAGGCACTCCGATGCTTAAGTCAGTGGGAGTACTAGCAGATAATAGAGTTGAGGTTAGAATTGATGATTACCTGACCCTCTGGAAGCAGAGGGTATTTATAGCCCCCAGCGCTGGGCCAAGGTTCCTTCACTGGGCCGGGCGGATTTGGCCCAATGGAGGAACTGCCAGGTCCTACGTGGGTAGTGGGGATCAGCACGTGGTCCCCTCCCTGGATGTGGTGCGTGAAGTGCGGGCGGACAGAGACGCGGTCTTTACGGAGTATCGT